GATGCTAAATTATAATTTTGGGATAAGCCGCTCTTTTTTAGGAAATATAAGTGTCAAATCATTAGGTGATGTGTCCCTAAAAATAAAATTAAATCAATAATTAGGCAATGTCATGATTTGGAATATAGAGGTCATTTTGGAGGTTTTAGAACAGTTTTTAAGACTCTTCAATATGATTTTATTAACCTATCTTATTTAAGGATGCAAATAGTTATGTAAAAATATATGATCGATGTCAGATGGTATGCAACATTACTAGAAGAAACGAAATGCCTCTTCATTTTATGTTGGAAGTATAATATTTTTATGTTTGGAGATTAGATTTTATGGGGATGTTTGCGCAATCTTTTGAAAAATAATATATTCTTATAGTAGTTGATTATGTCTCCAAGTTGATTGAAGAATTAACAAATCTCAAAATGGATGCTCATGTGGTTATTAAATTTCTTAAGAAAAACATGTTTTTATATTTCAAGTGCATGGAGTGGTTATTAGTGATGGGAGATGTCATTTTTACAATAAAATAGTGGAGGCTTTGATTTTAAAATATGGTATAAAATATAGATGGGGGCATTTAAAGAATATTAATAAAAAAATTTTTGAGAGTAAGATACTATATCTTAAGATTTTGTCTATGCATGAGGAAGCTAATATTATGTGGAAAAAAGTAGTTAGTGATAAGGAATATTGCAAAAGAAATACTTGGAGTATACAAGGGAAAAGCTAATAATAGTACAAATAATTGGTTGTGGAATCAAAATGTGCAAGAAAAGATAAAAAAATAAGATGATTTGTTATAAAAATTAGTTTAGATGTAAAAATTTTGATAATTGGGAAAGATATAAAGAGGTGTGTAAGGGTTCTAAAAAAATATGCGATGCAAAGATCTTAGCTTTTAATAATTTATATAATAGATTAGATACTAAGGAGGGCGAAATATATATGTATAAGTTAGCCAAACATAGTGATAAGAGTAATACAAATTTAGTTCAAGTGAAGTGTATTAAGGATGAAGATAAAAAAAGTGCTTTAATTAGAAGAGGACATTCAACAAAGGTGCATGAGATATTTTTATAAACTCTTCAATGGAAATTAAGAGAATGTGATTGACTTTAGTGACCTCAACACCCTAAATGAAAATAAAGATTTTTTATTTTTATTATTGTATTAGCAAAACTAAAGTTAGAGAAACTTTTAAGAAAATGAAGTGTGAAAAAGCTGTTAAACCTAATGATATTCCGATAGAGGTGTGAAAATGCTTAGGATATGAAGGAATTTCTCTTTACTTACTAAACTTTTTAATATTATTTTGAAGACTAACAAGATGCTAGACGAGTGGAGAATGAGCGTGTTGATTTTTATTTTTAAGAATAGAGGCGATGTAAGAGATTATGCAAATTATAGAGGAATTAAGTTAATGTGTTGTAATTTAAAATTATGGCAGAGAGTTATGGAGCATAGGTTGCAGTGTGATACTAATATTTATCAAAATCAATTTGTATTCATGCCAGGTAGGCAAACTATGGAAGCTTTACATTTATTGATAGGTTTGATGGAGAAGTACAAAGAGAACAAGGAGGATCTACATATGATATTTATTGATTTAAATAAAGTATATAATAAAGTTCTAAGAGAAGTGCTATGGACGGTTCTAGAAAATAAAGGGGATAATAATGCTTATATTCAAGTCATTAAGGATATATATGCATGAGTTGTTACTTATGTTCATATATAAGATGACTTAACAAAGTATCATCCTATTTCAATTGGATTACATCACGGATCAGCCTTAAGCCCATATCACTACACATTTGTCGGAGGTTGTACCCTGGTGTATGCTTTTTGGTGATGATGTTTTTTTATTGATAAGACTAGAGAGGGAGTTGAAGGTAAATTTGAATTATGGAGGTCAACCTTAGATTCTGAAGGCTTTCATTTCTGTAGATCTAAAACTGAATATATGGAGTATACTTTTAGTAATAATAGTTCTTATGGAGGGATTGTGACTTTGGGTGATCAAGTCATTAATAAGAGTACACATTTTAGATATCTTGGGTCTATTATTCAGAGTAATGGTGAAATACATGAGAATATTATTAGTAGAATTCAAGTTGGATGGTTGGAGTGGAGAAATGCATTGGGCTTGTTGTGGGATCGAAAATTCCCCCTCAAACCTAAGAGAATTTTATAAGATGGTGGTTAAACCTGCAATGCTTTATGGTGCAAAATGTTGGCCATTAAAAGAGAAGCATAATATTAATTTAAGTGTTGCAGAGATTAGCATGCTCAGGTGGTTGAGTGGATTTACTCTTAGAGATATAATACGTAATGAGCATATACATGAAAATGTTGGAGTAACTATAGTAAAAGATAAGATTAGAGAGAGTCTCCTTAGATGGTTAGGTCACATAAAATGGCTACCTTCCTATGACCCGGTTAGGAAAGTAGATGTATTATATTTGACTTATGTTAAGAAAGGTAGAGGTAGATCTAAAAAGACTTGATTAGAAAATATTAAAAATGACATTCCTTTATTAGATTTAAATGAGAATTTAACTTTTAACAAGGTGCAATGGAGAAAAAAGATTCATGTGACGGACCCTATACAGTGGGATAAATGCTTGATGGTGATGTTATTGTTGTATAAAACATAGAGTTGCAATTGATTATTATCCCTAAACTAGTGGTCAAGCGGAAATTAGTAATAGGGAGATTCAAAGAATTTTGGAAAAAATTGTATATCCTAATAGAAAAGATTGGGCTTTGAAGTTGGACAATACAATTGATATATATTGGAATATCTCCCTATAGATTAAGCTGAAAACCAAATAATAATGAATAAATAGTTAAATAATAAAATAATATTATTATAACTCTAAATTTTAATTATACCTATAATTTGATTTGATTCACTTGATTTATCGAACCTGTTAACTAATCTATCCTCACACATCTTTATTATAATTTCAAATTTTGGTTAGACACTACAGGAAAACCCCTTATTACCGGCGGACAAAATCCGCTGAAAATATTAGAAATCCGACGGAAAATATAGTTTTCGGCGCATGTTTCGGCGTATATTTATCCGCCGGTTTAAGTCGCGTCGATAATTTATTTCCGACGCATGATATGCGCCGGAAATTTCTCTGGCGCAGTTTCTGACGAATTACCGGTGAAAAAACGGATTGTTGCCAACGTAAAAAAACGTCTTAATTCCGGCACCATATGCGCCAGTAATTAGCGTCGCATTATGCGCCGGACATTACCGGCGGAGAAAACGCCGCAAAGTACGACGTAGAAATCCCACGGTTTCGCTTGCGACGCAAAGTATATGCCGGTAATTACCGGCGGACTTTGCGCCAGAACATGCGCCGGTAAGTTCCGACAGAACAAAGACGTCGGTATGTACGATACAATTCGTTGTATCGTCCTTTCCGGCGAAGTTCCGTCGGAAACATGTAGCATTGACAAAATTTTTTTTTTTTTTAGTTTTGTTTGATTCTGTAGCATTGAAACCTGTAGCATTACCTGTCTAGACAAAAGCCGAAATAAATAAATCTAACTTTATTAAGTTTTAGTTTTGTTTGATTCTACCTATTATTTGGATCAACATATTTTGTTTATAATTTGATCTGATTTAATTAGTTTAGCAATTAAGTCTATCAATCCATCAGAATTGATCAAATACACACTCCTATCATCATTTTTCACCATTTGATATTGGCTTTGTTCATCTTCTGATTGTTGACTAACATCGGCCATCTGTTATTCATCACTTATTCTCTAGCATTTTTCACCACATTCACAAGAGGCCAATCCAATAATCTAGACATTGTAATTATTCTTTCTTCAATTAGAAATAATGGTGTACTTATCTAATCTCAAATTGCATAATGAATTATTTCAACTGCGTTAGGCATTGTATTTTATCTCTTTCTTATGATTTTCACTTAAAAGTTCTTATTAACTTCTCTTTCCATTTCTTAATACAAAGACAAAAAAAATTCTCATTCTACTATAAAAAAATTTCCAACACACAATTTATGAATTATCCAACTTTAAAGTGTATTTAATTATTTTAATTTATAATACTTATAAATGGAATATACTCACATATGTTCTTTAAAAGCTATGATTTTACATGATATTGATTAGGCTCTCTCTCCCCCCTATTCATGCTTAGTTTGCATCATATTTAAATTTATCCTTGTTTATGTTATACTCATTTGCTAAATAAATTGACATATTATGTTCAAATTCAACTTATTTTTTATTTTAGATTATCTTCATAATATATATTTAATATATATTATGCCAATGTATTTTTACATTATGTCATAAAAAATAAGATTAATTTTATTTTGACACCATAGCATTTTCATATAATATAAAATCATATTAAATTAAAAAACTTAGGCTATATTAATTATGTAAATAAGTAAAAAATTGCTCTTTTTGCATGTGAAAGTGATATTGACATCAAGCCAACTTAGAATTTCTCAACAAGAACCATCAAAAACCTTAATTATGCAGTTGTGCTGTTTCCATCTCTTTTGATTAGCCAAAAAATAAGAAAATGTAGACCATAATGATAGGTACTCCCTACTTAATTGCATAAAAAAAAGAGAATATATAGGTATTAATCCTCATTAATAATTCTCTAATCTAATGTGTTTAATGAAGATTAGGTGGCCCACAACCAACAACCGTCAAAGCTATACAGCCAAAGCGATTAATTAGTAAGCAGTTCACATGTGTTCTGAAGAAGTGCAATGAATTCTTTACTGTCCCATTACTTTTAACGCGACTGATTATTTGGAAAGAGAAATTTTATTTTCTGAAAAAAAAAAACAAATTTTTTCACTTGAATGAGAAGGAAGTCAACTTCGATAGAAGCAAAATTTTTTTGTGAAGCGGAGGAATCGAGTTAAAAAAATGTTTTTATTTTTATTTTTTATTGTTATTGGCGCAATTAAGAGACAGGCTGGGAGGATGGTAGCATCAGCATTGATGATCTTCTCCCAGCTCGCAAATTCTTGAAAGTACTGGGTTTTTTTCTCTAATTACATGGAACAAATGCCTTCTTAAACAATCCTGAAAGAAATAGCTAAAAAGGCAAAGAGAACGCTAAAGTTGGCTCCTTTTTTCTCCTTTCCCTGTTCTCTTTTATTTTATTCCCTCCTTCCTTCCCTCCTTCACTCTTCTCTTTGATTCTGTTTAGCTTCTTCATTCCATTTCAGTAGTGCTTCTCGATCTGGGTTTCATCACCACCCATTTGATTCGCTTCCTTCCTTACTGTTACTTTTCTTCCAAGCTTGTTGCTTTCTTCTGTTTCTTATGTTTTGTTCGCTCAAAAAAAGTTTTTAGAGTTGATTTTCAAATTTTTACCTTCTCTCGCCTGTCCTGGATTCTGCTCATCCTCTGCTTTTATGTGTATTGCTTTCTCACTGCTTGGGCTTAAGTTTTCATTCTATTTTTGGTCATGAAACCTTGAATTCTGTGATTTCTCCTAATTCCGATCTGTAAACCCTAGCTTAACTCCAGTTTCTATGGGTCTCTGCCTCTGTAAACCAAGCAAAAAAGAAGAAATCCAAGCAGAAAACCCTTCAGCTCCTAAATTGCTCCCATCTTCCACTCATGAACCAGCTCCACTAAATCCTTCCACTCCAAAAACCTCAAAGTTCCCTTTCTACAGTCCTAGTCCCTTATGGGGTTCTTACAAAGGTTCGCCGGGGAATTCAAGTGTGAGCTCGACGCCTCTTCGGTTCTTCAAGCGCCCCTTTCCTCCGCCGTCGCCGGCTAAACACATTAAGGCTTTGCTGGTTCGCCGGCATGGATCGGTGAAACCTAACGAGGCCTCGATTCCTGAAGGAAGCGAAGTGGAATTAGGGCTTGATAAGAACTTTGGATTCTCGAAGCAGTTTTTGTCTAAGTTTGAACTTGGAGAAGAGGTTGGAAGAGGCCATTTTGGTTTCACTTGTTTGGCTAATGCTAAGAAAGGGGAGATGAAGGGGGAGGAGGTAGCCGTTAAGGTCATCCCAAAGGCAAAGGTTCGTTTTTTTTTTAAAATAATTTTTTAAGGAACAATTGTTTTCCCCTTTTATATAACGCCTTCTTATTTTATACTATTGGTTTCTTGAATTGGAATTGGGTGTGTGGAAGCAGATTACCTGTGTTCGATATTACTTGTAGCAAGACTTCAGGGCTGTTTGGTATCCTAATTTAGGCAGGATTTAAGCGATATTTAGCTTAAATTATTCCAAATGAGATTTTAGAGACTTTTAATCTTTATATTTTTATAAAATTTATTTCTCTTTTTTATTAATTAAATTCTACCGGTCATGGGATTTAACGGATTTATGGATTTTGCTTTTATGAATCATAATTTTTCAAATAAGTAGCCAAAATATTTCTCAAATTTTAGCAAGATTTAATAATAACTGTCGCGCAAGCAGTTTTTAGGGTTTATAGGATTTGTCAAATCCTGCTTGTTGCCAAAACCGCTCCTTGTTGGAAAAATTTTATTTTATTTTCCTAAATTTTTAATCACAGTGATAAACAGCAGGATTTTTCTTTTCTTTTATTTTTTTCCCCATTTTTGGATTCAGTTTATTCTTTGATGTTATTGCTATGTTAACGACGATTCCTGCAAATAAGAATTTAATGACTAATGCAAATCATAAGAAAAGAATTTGTTGTTCACAAATTTTCTTGAGCATGAAATGGTTGCTTCAGTTATAATTTCAGCTGCCCTCTTTATATCCAATATTATTGCTACTTATATCATGTATTTTGAGCTTTGTATTGAAGGATTTATTCATTTACTCATTCATGTCTACATTTGGAGCCATTATATTTTATACGCTTATTGTGTGATGAAATGTTCACAGTGATATGGATAAAGTTTATTATATTAGCGTTGAACGAATATCTCCTACACACAGATAAGTTAAGAGCATCTCATATGAGACATGAGGAATGTTTTTACATGGAATGGGAAGGAAACAAATCACAGGATCCAATTGAAATGACTGCACCATTGCATGTCGTATATTACAACAGTTGTTCGTTTCCATAATTGGAGATGACATTAATGCAATATAATTGGTATGAATTGTGGAAGATATCGTCCATGATGCAAAGAGCATTGGGATGTTTGAATTGTCATTAGGCGATGGCGGGCTATTGTTTCGATTATGAGTTGTCTCAGGCGATGGAGGAAATTTTTTCGGTCACTCTCCTTACGAGAGAGGAATTTTCCAACTCCCTTCATCATGATATGATTATTTACATACAAATTAAAATTAAAGTCAACACATCTACTGTTTGACCATACTATAATGAATAAAGGCAATATATATTGTATAAGCTACTCAATATGTCTTTGCTGGGATGACTAGTTACTATATAATGCTTTTTGGAATGATGGAAGAAATTATGTGAAACACACGAGGAATAAACTGATTTCAGATTTAAATTTTAAGAAAAAGAATTCACTTTCATCTTGGCAGTGCATCTCCTTATTGTATTTTAGCAAAAAAATCTATATTCATGAAATATCAGCTTTAATTTACACCCATGTTTCTCTTAAATTTCCTTTTTTGGGGGGATTGATGGTAATTTATATAGTTTAATCTTCATTTTGCTTTGCAGATGACAACAGCTATTGCTATTGAAGATGTGAGAAGAGAAGTTAGAATCTTGAGTTCTCTCACAGGCCATAAAAATTTAGTGCAATTCTATGATGCTTATGAGGATGAGGAGAATGTTTATGTAGCAATGGAGTAAGTCTTTATTTTTTTTTTTTTTCTCAAATTGATTTATTTTTTTCTTTGATAGACATCGAAGTGTCCTCTTTCTAGGAAATACAACAAAATTTAGGAAAGTGGGTTCACAAATGGCAAAAAAGTTTTCTCAATATAACTTTATTTATCATAAAAAAAAACCAGCTATCACAGATATTATCTTAGCTTTTTTAAATACTATTGTGCCCGTCCCTCTATTAGGTTACATAAACTTTCAAAATTATGTAAGCTTTTGGCAGTTCAATATTATAATCGCCCAGTGCCTCTTTTTTTTTTCCTTTAAAAAAAGTTAAGAGATAAGCTCATTAGAAGTATTTTGGTCTTGTGAGTTCCATTTCATGTAAAATTATCATATTTTTTTATTTATAGTGTTAAAAGCTTAAATCTTATAAAGTTTAATCATATCAAACTCTAATCACAAACTGTTTAATCACCTGTGTAATTTATATAATATTTGCTTGTTTTTCTTTTAATTTTAGACTCATTCATCTCAGCTAAGTGTGTTTTTTCCTTGGTCATTACTAAGACTGGCAAGAAGCCTCATGCATTGGACATATCCTTTTCTAGGATTATTGAAGTTCTTACTATAGATTTATCTTATTTTTTTTCTTTGAAATTGAATTAAAATTTAACTCATTCTTTGAGAATTTATCATGATTTTCCTATAATGGCGCAGGTTGTGCAAAGGTGGTGAATTGTTAGATAGGATTCTTTCAAGGTATGATTAATTATATACATACTTACGAAGAGTTTAATGCTAATTTAATTAAGTTGAGCTTAATGTTGATAATATTGTTCCTCTTATAATCAAATTGGCATTTGGTGTTCAACTTCAGGGGCGGTAAATACTCAGAAGAAGATGCTAAGGTTGTTCTGATCCAGATTTTAAGTGTTGTTGCCTTCTGTCATCTCCAAGGTGTCGTCCATCGAGATCTCAAGCCAGAGGTGTATGATCATTCCATCAAATCATACAACATATATATTCTCAACGAGTGAATTGTCCCTATTTTAGCATGTCTATTTTAGTTTTTTTTTGGTGTTTAATTTTGTCCCTCAACTCATTAAATTCAAACCGATTTGACCTTACTGTAAACTTTTCCAATTCTTCAGATGAAAATTGATGGAGGAAATATTTTTTGAGAGTATTTTGAACTTTTTGGGGTCAATCCTATTAATTTGAGCTAATATTAAATATAAAATTGACCCCAAAAATTCTAAAACATCCTCATAGAAAGTTTTTCTCCATGAATTTTCATTTGAAGAAACAAAAAAGTTGACGGTATTACCAAACTTATTCAGATTTGGTGAAGTGAGGGACTAAGTTGAACACTAGAAAAAGTATGAGACTAAAAAGATACATATGAAAAGTTTAGGAATCATTTTGATCGATTACTTTATTCTCAACTAATTCTAATACAATTGCATGTTGTTTCTTCTCTAGAATTTTTTGTTTACTTCAAAAGATGAGAATGCAACCTTAAAAGCTATAGATTTTGGTTTGTCAGACTTTGTTAAACCAGGTGAGTGCTGCGAAATTAAAGTTTATTTATTTTTTCTCATTCTCTTTTCAATGCTAAATTTGTTTGAATTATACTGACATGCAGATGAAAGGTTGAATGATATTGTCGGAAGTGCATATTATGTTGCTCCTGAAGTCCTTCATAGATCCTATGGTACAGAAGCAGATATGTGGAGTATAGGTGTGATTTCATATATTCTTCTGTGTGGAAGCCGGCCGTTCTGGGCTCGTACCGAATCTGGTATATTTCGAGCTGTTTTGAAGGCTGAACCAAGCTTCGATGAAGTTCCATGGCCATCATTGTCTTCTGAAGCCAAGGATTTTGTCAAAAGGTTATTGAATAAGGATTATCGTAAAAGAATGACTGCTGTTCAGGCATTGAGTAAGTTCTGAATTTACTTGACATGAATAGGAAGTTTTGAATGAAGATTAAATGACTAGAATGGCCTTTAGACGTTTTAGTTTTGTCCATTTTAATCTCAGGCTTTTCCAGCATTCAATTGAGTCCCTCAACTCCTCAAATCTGTTCTAATTTGGTCATATCAAAACTTCACCATTTTTTTCGATGGAGATAGGTAGAGGGAAGTTTTTTATGGGCATTTTGGAGTTTTAAAAGTCAATCTCAATATTAATAACAGTTCAAATTAATGGAATTGCCTCTAAAAATCGAAAATGCTCTTATGAAAAGTTTTTGTCCATCAATTTGGTTAGATTTGATGAGTTGGGGGGGTTAAATTGAAGAGCTGAAATAAGTTTGAGACTAAAAATGGATGCATCTAGAAAGTCTAGATCATTTTGATCACCTCTTTCTTAAATGAATATCATTAATTAGAGTGATTATGGAAACAGGTCACCCTTGGATTCAACAATTTGAAGTGGTTAAGTGCCCCTTGGATATGATGGTTTATAAGCTTGCAAAAGCTTATGTTTATTCATCTCCATTGAGAAAATCAGCACTAAGGGTAAGCTTAATCTTTACTGGCACTTCTATTTCCTTCAAAAATGTTTTTTTTTTCTATGTTGATTGATGTTTTTTTTATACATAATTTTATCTTATTTTTCTGCAGTTTGTTGGATTTGTATTTTGTTTTCTGAAGTTTTGCTTAATATTTGAATGTAACAGGCTCTGGCCAAGACTCTAACTGTATCTCAGCTTTCCTATCTAAGAGGACAATTTTCTTTGCTGGAGCCTAACAAGAGTGGTTACATCTCCTTCCAAAACTTTAAGATGGTAAATTTATTTTATTTCTAGAATGTTCATCTTATAGATCTATATGCATTATTATATGCAATTTTAATGGAATAAACATAAACAGGCCTTGCTGAAGAGCTCGACTGAAGCTATGAAAGATTCAAAAGTTCTTGATTTTGTCAATGTGGTATGATTCAGTTATTGCTATTTATTACATCTTAGACTTCAAATTATTAGATCCTGACCTCAAATAACTTCTGAATATAGGTAAGTTCACTTCAATATAGGAAATTAGACTTTGAGGAGTTTGTTGCTGCTGCAACAAGTGTGCATCAGCTGGAAGCTTTAGACACTTGGGAGCAGCATGCTCGCCGCGGATATGAACTTTTTGAGAAGGATGGAAACAGGCTTATAATGATTGAGGAACTCGCTTCGGTGAGCCACAATTGTTTGTACCTTTTTAATGAGTAAATCTTAACCCCTCGATCCATCAAATTAGAACCAATTTGGTCAAACCGTTAACATTTTGTCATATCTTTTGTTGGAAATTGGTTGCAAAAAAGCGTTCCGTGTTGGTATTTTGGACTTTCTAAGATTGATCTCATTTGTTTTGGGTTTGTATTTAATTGATGAGATTGTCCTAAGAAGTTCAAAATACCGTTAGGGAAAGCTTTCTTTCAGGGATTTCTATCTAAAGAAATGACAAAATTGATGGTAGGACCAAATTGATTAAGATTTGATGAGTTGATAGACTAAATTGAACATTTAGAAAGTGATTATAATGGACAAATCTAAAAGGTCTAAAAACTATCTTGGTCACTTGATACTGACAATCAACTGTCAGTTTTTTTTTTGGATGGAAATTGGTGAAGAGAAACTTTACATTAGAGAGCATTTTGAACACTTTTCTCTTCGTTCATTTCTGTCCTAAGAAATAACATAGTTGATGGTCTGATTAAGATTTTATTTGGGACGGCTTTTTAAAAGTAGTTTTCTAGTAAAAAATTTTAATTTTTTAACTAAAAAATTGCTTAAGAAGAAGTAAAATGGTCGTCCCAAACAAAATCTAAGTTAATTCAGATTTATCAAATCGAGGGACTAAGCTGAACGCCTAGAGAAATCCGTGAGTAAAATAGACAAGCATAAAATGTCTACAAACCATCTTTAATCATTTACTTTTTCTTTAATAGTTTAATTCTTATTCTTTCTCTACTGTGCTGATTATATCTAATTCAAATGCCTCTAACAGGAACTTGGCCTTGGTCCATCAGTACCAGTTCATGTTGTTCTTCAAGACTGGATAAGGCATTCTGATGGGAAGCTGAGCTTTCTAGGCTTTGTTAAGCTTCTTCATGGCGTTTCTACTCGATCTATTCCGAAGGTTACCAACTGAATAGGAAATAAAATACCAGATTCTAAAACTTTGGCAAATAAGCTGAGCTGAATGATCATTGAAGATTAAGAGCCAGAATTAGCTGAAGATAAGCAAACAATCATGTCCTGCCATTTTGTTTCAGAGCAATTGACAAAAGGAATGTACAGATGAGGAGTAGAGTTACAGAGAACAGAAGAAATTGATCAAGTCAGTTTAATCATTTATATGAGAATTTAGAGCAATATTGCCATTAGGACTCATTAAAAAAAGGAAAAAAAAAAGAAAGATTGAAAGCCTGTCAAGTAATCAAGATCCAAGAGTTGTTGATAACTTGGTTTCCTTTACTTTCAGTTTTCTTTAGTTTGAAGTCAGCCAACTCTCTTCTTTATTTTATGTAGTTTTCAATTTCAGTGTTACCATCAATCAAAATATTGTGGAAGAGAAAAAATATCTCTTAACTTTTGATGATGTTGACTTCAAATAGAAGGAAGGTGAAGTATTTCTTTGATTAAATAATAAATGAGGAAAATCTCTTCCTCTTCTTCATTAAAACAATCTTTGTATGTGTTAATGCCCAAATTAAATGATTTTTTTATATATATTGTTTTAAATAGATATTATTCTTATAATATCTCTCACATGATCATTTATTATTTTATAATGAAGTTATCTTAACATTCTCTTTGTCACAACTAGGGGGCGTAAATGAGTGTCAAATAGGGTTGAGCTCGTTTAATTTTTACTATGCTCGAACTCAGCTCATCTTAAAAAAAATTAAGGTTGAGCTCAACACAATTGCTTGAGCTCAATTTATTTATTTATTTTTTTTAGTTTTTTAAGGAAACTTTACTTTTAATATACAAATAAAAAACTTTGGGTATATAGAATTAGATTAAAAATGTTAAAATATATTATATAATACAATAATTTTAAGCTTTTATCTCACTATGTGGGATTGTGGGGTTGGCTATATATTTTTCAAAAATAATTTAAAATTAGTTTAAAAATATATTAAGTTTTTTAATTTTTTGTTACATTTAGTCCAAGTAAGTCAAATTAACGCACACAATACATACATAAGATTTGAATTCAAAATCTATTGTTGGGTAGCAAAAACTTCTAACCAATAGACCAAGGTAAGCTGGGTAAGTAAATTTTAAGTTAATTAAGCTACTTTATGAGCTTAAAAGTCGAGGTAGGTTGAGCTCCAACTCATATAATTTATGAGCAGGAGTATATGCTCGAACGAGTGGTTTCATAAACTGAACTCGTGAGCTCACTGAGTCGAGTTTGAACTAACTTGTGAACTAGCTCGGCTCTCTTGCACTAGTCACAACTATGAAAATCATTTCATCTAAGAGCACTTGAAGTATGAAGTTAGTATTAGCAACAGGGCTTTGAAATAAATGATTATATAACCTGGTTCAAATTAATGTGTCATAAAATAGATTAAACGAGAAATTCAAAAAAAAAAAAAAATGAAGAAGAAATATTCAATTGTAAGAGTTCATTGGAGTTCGGTGGCCGGTAGCTTTTGAACACCACCATTATTCATTTCACATGGCCCATGTGAGGAAGGGACTGTAGAGGGTATAATCCCGAAATAATTGACAGCTAAGCATTTTTATTTTGAAAAATACATTAATTTTAATTAGAAAATTCTGATCAAAATTTAAATACGATAAAATTTAAAATAATTAAATTTATTTTAAAATAAATGTAGTATAAAAATAAAATTTAATTGATGTTATTATATGGATTAGAAACTGTTGAGATGCCGGGTATCGATCCCCATATCTCTCGCAGGCTAAGCGAGCACTTTACCATCTGAGCTACATCCCTATTTGTTTAAGAACCGTGATCAATATAATATATTAATTATAAAATTATTCTAAATTGTCGAAATATAATATTTAAATTAGAAATATATTTGCCGGGCAATTTAGTTAGCTTAAATAATTAGAATAGTGAAGAAGATCAGATGCTCTAAGTTGAAATAAAATGAAAATATGTTTATTTGTACTATATCTTTTGCTTGTATTATAATTGATCGGCGTGCTTTAAATTTTTAATGTTGCATTAATATTATTTTATTTTTTATTAAATTAATCAAGTGTTGTTGCGTCCTGGAATATTCGCGGTGGTAGAGAATTATAAAGTTTAGCTTCTTAGCATTTTACGAAGATCCAACACACAATCAAATAAGAGAGAAGGTGTAGCGTTCATAAGAGACATCAGAGTTTTTATGTGGAAACCACTTAAAAGGGGGAAAAATCACGGGGTCTGGCCCAGTTTGAATGAATCCACTAGTATTTAAAGTCGATTACAAATGAGGCCCTTCCTTAGGAAAATGCCTTGATTTGATGATACAAATGTACATCATATAGAGCACATTACATGGTAGGAGTTACAGTATAGACATGTTTGTTTGGTCGGCATGACCATAGTCAGTAGGATGGAGACCAGAAAGATCGTTGTCTCGTGATAGAGGTCAGAAGGATCATAGTAGGTGATGCAGGTTAGAATGACTGTAGTCGGTAGGAGACCGAGGTCATAAAGACTGTTGTTTGGTGATGGAGATCGGAAGGACCATTGTAGTTGATGGAGGTCAGAAGGACCGTAGTCGGTAGGAGACTAAGGTTAGAAAGACCGTTGTCTAGTGATGGAGGTCAGCAATATTCTAGGAGAACTTTGGGCATCAAGTGGTGGCCTTGTGGAGCTCAAGGCCTCAAGTAGTGGTCCGGTGGAAGTCCGGGCCTCAGGTGGTATTTTGGTGGAGCACAAGGCCTCAAGTGACGGTTTGGCGGAAGTTTGAGCCTTAGGTGGTGGCCTGGTGAAGCACAGGGCCTCAAGCGGTGGTCTGGTGGAAGTCCTGACCTTAGGTGGTGGTCCGGGCCTCAGGTGATGGCCTGGTGGAGCACAAGGCCTTAAGTGATGGTCCAGAGGAAGTCCGGGCCTCAATTGGTGGCTTGGTGGAGCACAGGGCCTTAAGTGGTGGTCCGACGTAGGTGAGGGCCTCAAGTGGTTGTCCGGCGGAGCAACAGCGTCAGGCAGTGGTCCGATGGAGGTGAGGGCCTCCAGTGGTGGTCCGACTGAGCAACGGTGTCAGGCGGTCGTCCGGCGGAGGTGAGGGCCTCAAGTGGTGGTCTGGTGGAGCAACGACGTCAGGTGGCAGTACGACATAGGTGAGGGCCTCAAGTGGTTGTCCGACGGAAGTCCGGCGATGGTCGATGAAGGCGATGGCCTGAAGTGGAGGTCCGACAGAACAACGACATCAGGCGGTGGTTCGGCGAAGGTGAGGGTCTCAAGTGGTGGTCCGGCGGAGCAACGACGTCAGGAGATGGTCCGGCGGAGGTGAGGGCCTCAAGTGGTGGTCTGATGAAGGTTCGACGGTGGTCCAGCAAAACTCTGGCGATGGTCTAGGAGGAGTTTCTTCCTTCTCTTCCCTTCTTGCTCTGGTCCCCTCTCAAGAGAAATGAGGGGTCTATTTATAGATTTCTGGAGTGCCATGACCTGTCAATAGGTGATAGATCAAGGGTAAATGGGGAGTAGTTGGATGGACGGTTGATATTGAATCCCTTGATCATGAACCATTTGTTAGACATTTGTAGGCCTTAATGATGTCAAAATTTGGCGATCTTGGGTTCGTTGAATTTGTCTCGTCGATTCGCTCGATTCGACTATAAGCACGTCATGTTTGGAAACTGTTTGGTAACCCAAATTATGGTTTGAACCTTCCAACAGTGCTTCGGGTCCTTGATTTGGATCCATTTGGACTCAGATTGAGTTTATTTTGGTGTCATTGGGTTCGTATTTCCGAGACATTTAGTTCGACTATAAGTTTGCTGAAATCAGAGTTCAGATGGTCTCCGAATTAATTTTTGAAGTTCCCAAGTTGATTTTGCATCGAGATTCGTGCCCGATCAAGATAATTTTTTGATGATATATTAGTTGCCCCCCCTATTTTCGGATGTCGAAGCTCTAGAAGTCCAAAAATTTTCATCGTAGTCTTTAATATTGGTTGAATTGCAAAAAATTGCATTCCAAAAATTATAAACTTGCTTAAACTCAATCATAGAAATCCCGTTGATCTCCGAAAGTGTCAAAATTGAGTCCAGAACATCGAAAAATGTGTCTGATGACCCCAAAAATGTCTGATTTGGACTGTTCGGGCCGAAAATAGGTGTTGGACACGCATAGCTCTTGTTTCTGGTTTTATATGGAACCGTGAATCATCATTGAAGCATAATTTTAGCCAAAAAGCTATTTTGATGGATATGTGGCATTCCAAAACATTGATTAACTATTAGAATCCATCTTGCAATTTAGTCATTCGTTAGAATAAATGCCATGGTTTGCATCAAATGGTTTGTTGGGACGAAATATGAGCATGCGAAACATTTTATAAAAAGGCTGACTAATTCATCATGTTAAACTATATAGAATGTAGAAACAAAGAAATAACTTGGAAATTCATTAGAAGAATGCAATCTTTAATAATTTCTGAAGATAAAATTAATTAGAATTAGCCGTCACTTCTCAGGCCGCATGGGGCAGCGCGTACACCTTTTCACCATTTCCCTTCCTTTGAGACTCCATTGGATTTCATAACCGTGCTACTTGGTTCCATTGTGGGCATGCAAATTTCTGAAGTATTCTATGTATTTCATGTAATCATTAATTTCTGATTTGAAATGATCAATGGTCCTTAGATAATTCCATTAATTTTTATTGCATGTCAAGGAACCTGCGAATAATTGTGTCGCCTCTCTATAAGGCGGTTATTATAACAGTTTTTTTTCGTGGATAACTGTAGTGAATTGCGATAGTAACAACAGACAAAAAATGTTTTCCATCTTTTTGTATCGATTATACTGCTAAAGTGCAAGGACTTATTTATTTATTTTTTGCAATTCTGAAAATTTCATTTGGGGCCCAAAATAATTTCAAAAAGCTTCTAGAACATTTTTTAAAAAATTTGAACAATTTTTGGAGGCGGAATTCCCCCCAATTTTTAAATTGTTCTCCCCTTTTGGTCCTATAAATAGCCCCCCTTGGGGCAAGAGAAAAATTGCTCCTTCTCCTTATTTCTCTTGGTCCTCCAAGGCCCCTCTCTTTGAAAGGAAGTCCGGAGATCCCCCTTCTCTCTCTATTCTTACAATTACGGCTTTCCCTTGGTCCTCCAAGGCCTCTCTCTTTGTAAGGAAGTCCGGAGATCTCACATTCTCTCTCTATTCTTACAATTGAGGTTTTTCCTTGGTCTTCCAAGGCCCCTCTCTTTACAAGGAAGTCCGGAGTCCCCCCTTCTCCCTCTATTCTTACAATTGAGACTTTTCCTTGGTCCTCCAAGGCCCTCTCTTTGCAAAGAAGTCTGGAGATTCCCCCTTTCTCTCTATATTCTTATAATTGAGTATTTCCCTTGGCCCTATAAGGCCCCTCTCTTTGCAAGGAAGTCCGAAGATCCCCCCTTCTCCCTCTATTCTTATAATTGAGGCTTTCCCTTGGTCCTCCAA